CGACCGTGATCTTTTCGCGTGATCGATCGATCAATCGAATTCAACTTATAAGCTTACTTCTAATAAAGTTACTAACTATATATCAACTATGTCATTTTAGGAAAACCATCAGCTCTCTTTGATAGTGAAAGTCCTGACTGGGCTCCTACCTAGAAGCTTGGCCATGATAGTACTAAAGCAACTGGATCTCCAGTTGATCGCTACGAACGAGCAAAGAAGAGAAGATCTACATAATTGAGAAAAACAATTCGATGTTTGAACAAATATTTTGGCGCTTTCGGAGTATGGTCTTCCTGTGGTGGTACACGGAAACCAGAAAGGACGGAAGGAAACGTGCGTACGCGCGGGAACCCTGTGTCAGTCAATTAAAAATCGACTTATGATGGTGTACCATTTTTTTCTTAGCTATGATGCTCCGCTCATGCCCCTTTTTGCGACATTTTTTTTTATTGACAAGAAGAACTTCAAAGATGGCCGGGATGAGGAAGGAGTTCGTCTCCTCATTGTCTTTCAGGTTTAATCGCAGTTGTAATCGCACATTAAGACAATAACTTAAGATTCGGTTTTTCGATAGTTTAGTAAACTATTTTCATATGCATTTTAGGTCTGGTAGTTCACGCACTATAAGTACAGAATCCAAGATGCTCGTTCGAAGATATTTTTTGGGAAAGTATGCAAAAAAGCATATAAATCGATTGGATACTATGGCTCTTGAAGGTAGAAAAGTTCATACCCTTCTCAGACGATGACAAATACGGAGAATATTATCCCTTTCTTCAGATTATGTAGGTTTGGTGAATCAATTGAAAACCTGCGCACCGTATGATATAGACTTCCCAGGTCGGACTCTCTTTTACTCCCAGGAATCGGTGAATATTGAACGCGAAGCGCGATGGCCGAGCGCGGGAGGCGAGCCGCAAGGCGATACGGAAGGAGAGCGGAAACATATCAAACTTATTAGAAGGATTTCAAACAACCGGATTAAAAATGCTAATGAGGATCAATTTATGCTAATACACATTACACGATTTTACACGTGGAACAACGAGAATATTGATGAACGCTTTACTTATTTGACGTACAGATATGTTATAAATGACAATTAAATCATAACAAACATTCAAAATCACACTCAAGACTTGTCTTCACGACATCCTTTCTCCTCTCTTTAGGCGTCTTCTTGCCTATATATTTCATTTGTAACTCTTGTTTTGAATTATTGATCTTCTGGTTCTGTTCGTTCTGTCACAATTTCGACACCGAATTGATTTGCACTGTGCTGTGGTGTGTACTGGATCAGATATGGCCTTTTTGATTATCCCTTTCAGTCTCGTGATTAATTGCTCATTATCACTCTCAAAGTAAAACTGAACATCTCGATCTGGGAGGCCAGTGTTGACTATCGTTGCCTTGCACAAAACAACAACGATATCCCAGTCATTCCCCTTGCACTTTTATTAGCATTTCTAAAGACAAGCATGCTCTCAAGCTCGCTGACGTTAACTCTCTTTAAATTTTAAAAAAAATTAATACAACGACAACATAAGCAGTCAAAATTGCACAAATAATACATTTGTTTGCTTTTACAAACATTCCAACGTGTACTCTAAGGAAAAACACTTCGTAATGCGAAAAAAAAGACATTTTTGTGTCTATTTTTTGCAAACAAGGACAACAATTTGATACAAGCTTTTCTCATCGTGTTTTGTGTATTAACATGAAATTGATCCTCATTTGCATTTTTTATCCGGTTGTATGAAATCGTTCTATTGCCATACATCGTGAACATTTAGCTTTTCACTAGTGTGCTTGCACCGTAGTATCAAAGTTCGCGGGAATTGTAACGCGTAAGTAATGAGTGGAGGTCTAGTTGTTATGAATATGGATATGAGTTTTTCGGCGTTTAGAGCCTTACAAGATACCATCAACTGCTTCTCTTATAGGACAGAAAAGATTTAAGTTATGGAGAATATTATCGTGAGATTAAGCGAAGGTTGTATTCTGGATGAAAAGATGACCTGGCTAGTATTCGTATTTGTTGAAGGACTCGCTGTAGATAAGAACTCGAAACAAGAACGCGGGAAGTCCGTTTATCGTGCCTTTAAAATAAGGACTTACTCCACCATCTGCACGAGGAGAGAAATGGGATGAGCGCATATTCAATACAAATTGTGATTTTGCGTTTGTTATCGAAGGAAGTGTCCGTTTTTCCGCAGTCCCAGGCATGTTATAAGTATATTAGGTAGCTCAAACAATAAAAAAAATACACCTACTTGCAGAAACGTTATCATAGAAAATAGAACATTTGAATTTAGTAAAAAGGAATAAATTAAAACAAGACAAAAGAGAGCGTTCAGCMTCAGTGATCTTCTTTTGTCTTTTTAATYDATTCCTTTTTAYTAAAATACAAATGTCCTATTTTTTATGACAACGTTTTCGCAAGTAGATATATGTTCAATTTCGAATTTATAGGAAAGCGCG